TTATTATCCCTCTGACTTTGTACAGTCCTGGTTAGTGCTTCACAGTGGCATGATCTGTATGCCTTCGTCCAAGATCCCAGTTCTAAACTGCCTCTGAACAGACAGGAAGGCTTGGCAGGATTCTACTAGGTCCTTTTCACAAGAACATCTCTCTACAAAGCATGTGACTCACTCAGCTTTGCACTGAACACCTTCCTTCTTAAAGGCCACATTGTCATGATTGACCATGTGGGTGGCCAGCAGGATGAGACAGCTCAGTAAGGATTCATCATTCTGACCTCAGGTATGCGAAAAGCCACTTCCACTGTGGACTCCCCATTAGGCTGTCAAAGAGTCATTGAGTTTTCTGTTGAGCCCTTGTGAAATCGGAGCATGGCAGGGGGCTCTCCCTCAACAGGTAAGAACGTGGAAGCACCCATACTACTTGCTATCTGAAAATCTATAGCTCTTTCCTGCTATATAAATCTCGTTTTCATTTTCTTACTGAGATGAAGGCACATGTAGTGTTGTGTGTGCTAACAGGCTCACACATTTGAAACCTGGCATGGGGAATGCTCCTGTAAGGAGGAGAAAATCCAATTTAGTAGGAAAATCTAACATTGGTACAAGTTCTTTCTCATGATGCTTGCATTTGCTCATATATTAAACATATTAGCCAGGGCACCTGAGGAAAAAATAAAGCAAAATGACAAGAAGAGAAGCCAAAACTTATTTCTAGAGAATCATGTCAACAATCATTTAAAAGTTTTTTTCTTTCTTTTGAGACTTTGTGTGTGTGTGTGTGTGTGTGTGTGTGTGTGTGTTATGTTGTCAAAACAGGACAAATAGCATTTTTATTTCCTCCAGTAAAGCACACATTCTCTTCATCCCAAACTTAAAAACTAAGAAATCAGATAAAACAATGTGTACAAAAGAATGAAGCAGCCAAGTGTGTGATTTTTCAGGACTCCTGAAACAAAAACCTCTCATAAAAGTATTCACCCTACTGACTCCTGACTCCTGAGTCCGTCTTCCCTGTGACCTGCCCGTAGGCTCCTTGTAGTAAAGTGGGCAGCCTGGGCAGGTGAGTTTCAAAGGTCCAGGATGCTTGACTCAGGTGTTGACACTACTATGTGCCTCGGGCAGCTCCCAGCCACTGATGCATGCAAGAGTGAGGGTCTGGGTGTGGGTGATGGATCCAGGAACCATTAAAGGCTTGGGAACAAGTATGCGGCCAACACTTCCAGAGGGCATGAGATGGAGCTTTCCCACGCAGATTCCATTTGTCTCTTGTCCTGTATTGGAGTCAAGCCTAGAGCCTGTCAAAAGAGCTCAGCAGTGGGATCCAGTAATGTCTCCAAGTCCTTGCTGCCTGCTTGGAAGCTAAGGCTGGTCCTGTCTTCTTGGTGAGGATAGTGGGATCAGGAGCATGAGGAAGAGGAGGTGGGCTGGAAAATGATTCAAGAGGAGACATGCACATATAGCCACTTGCCAAGGCAGGGCCACAGAGGTGAAAACCTGAGTACCCCACGACAGAACAGACATCTTTATGGATGGCTGCTCTTACGTTTGCAATGGAGTACACGAAAGCTGATCAAACCATATGGACTTTGCTGCCAACTTCAGCTTTGAATTTGATATGCTCAAGATCTGTATCCCATCCAAGATCTAGTATGGAACCCAAACCCTAGCATACTGTGTTAAACTGCAGGGATTTCTGAGGCTGTGTCTCACTCACATCTGTGTCACTGAAGTCCTGTAGAAAGACTTGAACCTTTCACAGAATACTAGGAGTGCTGAGTTTGGGATGGAAGAGTGTGTATGGAAAGTATAGGGTTCAGGGTGCTCATCATTCATTCATTCATTCAACCATTCATTCAGCAGTTACCAACTGCTGAAGCTGTCTGAGAACTGGAGATATTGCTGACTTGGACTTTGGGGAGACTCTGGAGAAGGAAAGAATAAAGTAGAGACAGGGAGTTTGGATATAGAGAAGCTAGCTTCCTTCTGACTTAGCTTAGTATTAGCTTTGACTCCAAGAAACAAGTCACATCCCCTCAAGTTGTTGCATCAGTATAATGGGAACAAACATGCTCACCTGATTGGGATGTGAGAATGTAAGCAAACAATGCACTTTACCCACCAGAAACACTATTGACACCTTGATATCAGTGTGTCTGATAGATGAATGGGGACTCTCAACCCTTGAGAGCAAATGCATAGACTTCATTTGTTTAGGACTGAGGCAGGATACAAGTCTCTGTGTGTGAAGGCCTGATTTATGGTATCATTCCTTGAGAGAAAGGGCAAGGATATTTCCAGTTGTCTGTCTTCAGCACTAATAAATCTGGCAATGAGAGCAGCTGCTTGCAAGGCAGAGGGCTCAGTCCTGAAGGGTGCTGCATAGCCTGTCAGGATTCAAAGGGTTCTCAGTGGTTCAGGTCCTGGATGTCCCAGTGGAGTCCCACATAGAAGCCCTGGAAAGCTCAGCTTCAGTCCTCACAAGATGACAGGTCTTCAGAGAAGAGAACAGGCCTTAGGTTAAACTTTCCACATGTTTCTATGGAGAGGGAACCAATCCAGATCTACTCCAGGCGGGGTGCACGAGTACCCATACCTAAACCACACTGAGGTCAGGGAGAACAAGTGGGGTGTGGAACATACCCAGGTCAATTTAACAGGTGCAATGTGGCAATATGGTATGTGGGCTTGTGTGTTTAAAGTAGTCATTTTGGAGCCTCCAATCAGCCATCCTGTGGCTGCTCTTCATCTTTGTTCCAACCATGAGGAGGAGGCTCTTGTAGGCAACAACCAACACACACCATTTTCTGCTGAATTGACAAAGATGGATTCATAACTGGTCCTGCAAGAAGATTTATTGACCGAATCACATTTTATTAGGCGCAACTTCTGTCATATTCTATGATGTTTCTGTAATTTTTACCCACCTGGCCCAGTCCTGAATGCAAGCATGACTTTCTCAGAGTAGTATTTGAAGACAGCATGCCTTCATCATCATCATAGTTGCTGTAATGTCTGCATTTTCCCTTGAGGATTCTGGCTAGGGCAGTGATCTGTGGTGTGTGTGTGTGTGTGTTTGTATGTGCGAGTGTGTGGTGTGTATATACAGGTGAATGGTTTCTGTGCCAAGAGTCCTTTGTAGCTCTCAAAATATGAGTCTCTTTCCATCACCTAGTTCTCTACTTGGGGGAACACTCTTGATTCTGTCTTGTTGAAGAGTTCTGCTGATCACTGTTGCTGAGTCCATGAGTGACAGATGACACCAACTGCAGGAGAAACGAAAGGTTGGAAGAACTGGGCAATGTGATGCATGGCTGTAATGCCAGCATTCAGGCAAGAGGATTGCAAATTCCAGGGAAGTCTGGGCTACTCAGAAAGACCTTGTTTCAAAAAAGAAAGGAAGAAAGACGCAAGACAAAAGATTATGATCACCACAAACACACTTGATGGTTAATCAACATGTGAAATTAGAGCCCATGCCTTGAAGTCCAGGGTTCACCTCTCTAACCCTTGTACACTCTCACAAACATGTTGAAGGAACATCAGGGTCGTCCTTGGGAATATCCTTTCAGTCATGAGGGTTGCCTCACTCAGTGACCAATCCATACCCAGGGAGATTATGACTCATGCTATTAGTATGCTCTTTGGGTTTTAAAACCCACAAATTATTATGACATAATTGACAATTTGGTAGGAATTCTGAATTACCCAATCGCCATTTCCCTCTGAAGTTTAGAATTTGTTTCTATGTCTGAAATGGCTCAGCTCCACTAAGTTACTCACTCAGATGAGGAGTTGGGTGTCCAGCAGGGACACCGTTAAGTTCTCATGACCTTTTATTGCTGCAGGCTTATATTTATCTCAATACTTTGGCATTTTCTCTAAGCTTCACAATTTCAAAGGCAACAAAGAGAGGGCATTGGGGGAACTGGGGCATTAAGTACCATGATGGGGTGCTTAGTAGCATCTTCTCACCTTGCCAATGACACCCTGGTCTATCCACGTGTGGCTTTAGAGAGAAGGTCAAGTTCATCCAGTCTGCTTTGTTTGGCTACTTGTTTTGCTTTCAGCAGAGTCTTCCCTCAAAGAAAACACTCTTTTGTGATGTCACCAAAGTTGGCTGTGCCAACACCTGTCAACTTTTTTTGGTAGGCCTCCCCTCCAAATATCCACCTAGACACCCAGATTATGTTTGGTAGCCCCCCCTTCAAATATCCACCCAGACACATGGACTGTCTTGGAAGAGGATAAATTCTGTTTAGCTTTTGACATTATCACTTTCCTCTATTACTGACTGTGTGTGTGTGTCTGTGTGTGTGTGTGTGTGTGTGTGTGTGTGAGAGAGAGAGAGAGAGAGAGAGAGAGAGAGAGAGAGAGAGAGAGAGAGAGAGAGAGACTTTTTGTGACAGGGTCTGATGTTTGTCTCAGACTTACTATGTAACTAAGAGTGGCATTGAAATTTGATTTTCAGTCTCTGCCTCCTAAATCCTGGAATTACATTCATTGCAACCACATTTTACTGAAATATTTTTAATTATGTTTTTCTCACAGAGAGCTCATCTGTTTGATATGCCATTACTTATTAGTGCCTATATAGCTTTGAATGACCAAACTGTCTTTAAACACCTAAAACTGACTTTTAGGCAAACAAAGCATTGAAAAAGAGTTTTTCCTTTTTCAATTTTAATAGAAAATCCAGCATCTGAAGCAAAAAATAAACACAACTTCCCATTCCTGGCAGCTGTCACACAGCCCTGATGTCTGTTGGCAGCACGTGTGTGGCATACAGCTTTGTGGAAGCCCTGCTGATTTTCATGTTGCACTGTATTTCTTCTTGTTGTCACAACTAGTTAAAATTTTTTCTTTCCAATCTTCTTGCAAACAGAGTGTAAAGTCGGGTGCTGGTGATGGATTGGTTGGGGCTCCCATACTCAATAACACAGACTCCTTTTTAGCATGTTATTCTATGAAATAGGCCCAAAGACCCACAACGCTTTTATTTATATTCTAAATAATTTATTTTTCCCTGAATTTTAAAAGTTGCATTACATTTGGAGAGGGAATGTGGGTTGACTCTAAGATCCATTAAGCAATACCATGGCCACCCAACTCGCACACAGATCACTTCCTCATGGCAGTAACTAAGATACCACAGAACACATGGGTAGAAAGAGCGCTCAGCAACCAAAAGCCGCATGCTCCTGCTCCCCATAAGGCACACCCCATAGGTTCAGAAGATCACTGCTCTCATATCAGAGCAGTAGCAGCCGTGGCCCAGCAGGCAGATTTGAGATAATCAAGGCAAACCCACCATGTTGGTGCAGGTGGGGCTGGACTCTAAACGGCTAGCTTAATCTGGCTTAAGAGTTCCCTCTCCCCGGGCGTTGGTGGTGCACGCCTTTAATCCCAGCACTTGGGAGGCAGAGGCAGGCGGATCTCTGTGAGTTCGAGGCCAGCCTGGTCTACAAAGTGAGTTCCAGGACAGCCTCCAAAGCTACAGAGAAACCCCGTCTCGAAAAACCAAAAAAAAAAAAAGAGTTCCCTCTCTTGCTGTCTTCCAGGAAAAGTACCCCTCCTAACTGTCTTGGAATGGTGTGTGTGTGTGTGTGTGTGTGTGTGTGTGTGTGTGTGTGTGTGTGTATCCCTTGCCTCCAGTGTCCATATCCCCAGAGAATGCCAGATGACACAAAGACTCTTGATGTCTAGTTGAGACCTCCAGGATCTCCAGAAAGCATGGAGGTTCGAATTCCATGCCAGTCACTGTTAATATAAGTAGAACTGAGACCAGGGAGTTCAATTCACAAGGCAGGTAGTTCTCAGGATTCTGCTTGCCTGGGAGTATCCCCAGGAGGGGAAGAGGCAAGATCAGAGAGAAGCCAAAACAGGTGTGGCCACCCACCTGCCTCAGGTGAGCTCTTGTGAGTATGTGCGGTTGTAAGGCAAACCCAAGCTGTCCAAGGATTCCTAGGTGCCAGGCACTGGTTTTGTGGTCTGGGGACAGTGAGGTTCTATAACTATAACAGGGGCACTAGTAATACCAGGAGCACAGTGACAGAGGAGGAAGCTGTTGCCCACAGGGACTCCTTCTTGCTGAAACAGCTCTTCCCAACCTCCTAAATTTGGAAAAAGTCCCTCTTTCCATGTATCCTAAACCCAAGAGTCCTGACTCCCCTCAATGTGCAGTCTCTTGCGGGTGGAAGGTAGCTACCTGTCCCCATCTCGGGGTTCCTGCACCCCCACCCCATTCTCTAGCTTCCCTAAAACAGGTGGACAGAGGTGGAAGCCAGAGGTGGCCCTCTGGATTCTCTTGCACCCTAGCTTCCTCCCCTTCTCTGACCAGCTCCAAGACAACTCTCTGGAGACTGGAGACCTCCTCCTGGCTTCTTTAGGAAAGGCTGGAGCAGAGTGCCAACCTGTCACCCTTTTAAGGCTTAAAGCCTCTCTCTGGAGCGCTGTTATAGAGCCCAGGGCTGGATTTACAGGCGGAGCCCCGGAAGCCCAAGAGTGGCTAGTCCCCTGGGTGAAGGGATCACAGCAAGCTGCACTGCCTCAGCTCAGCTCCACCCAGGCGCTCTGCGGCACCGGTGGCAAACCCAGGAGAGATTGATTCCGGACCTGAACTCTATGTTAGAACAGAACACCTGGCCGGTCTTCAGTCTTCCTTCAAACTTCAGTCCCTTCCCGGCTGTGGACGAGATGACCCACCCTAAAGCTGGTAGCCATTGTCTGATAGCCAGGGGCAAAGCCCTGCGCAGTGTTAGGGATCTGGGGACTGTGGGCAGCCGCACTTGGTGGCCTTCGGAAAGGAAAGTCACGGGCCAGGCCCTCAGGGAGGGTGCTTAGGTCACCTGCCAGGGTGCCCACTGCAGTGGAGAACCCTGAGAGGCAGGGGCCGGCCTGGGGTGCAGGAGGGGACCGCGAGGTCTGTGTGTCTTGGGAAGCTGAGCCACGGGGCTCCAATGTGGTTGCCTCTGGGCTGCTGGTTCCAGGCGCAGTGGCCACACTGGTCTCTCCTCTCCGCCTCCTCTTCCTTCGGAAGTTCCCATTGTCGAACATTTTCTCACAGTTTGGGTCCAGCGTCCAGTAATTGCCTTTACCTGTGGAGAAGGGAAGTACAGAAAGCTCAGCGTTACCCCGTTGGCTCCATGGAGATGGTCCTGAACCCTCCTTGTTCCAAGCCTTGAGGCAGCACCTTGAGTCGGGACTGGGCCTCCACAGTCATACTGCTAGAACTTGGGTGCTTCGGAAAGACCCAGCCATGGACCAATACCAAGTGCATCCAGTTGGAGGCTGGGAAAATGGCCCAAGAGAATCTGAACTGTCTAGGCTCAGCCAGTGGAGCAGAGCTGAACTCACCTGGCCTCTATGTAGGGTCCAACGCTTTCCAGAGGCACATCACCTGCCCCCCACCCCCGAACCCACCCCAGGTTTTCTAAAGGTAGACACTATTTATCCCATTTTACAGAGCAGTGTATCTAGGTCCAGAGATGTTAAACTCCCTAGGTAACCCAACTGGCTACCTTTCTAGACTTCAAGCAGATGCGCAGAGTCCTGGGGGCGCCAGTCTGGAAGCTAAGGTCTAAAATGTCTCTCCCCACCCCACTTCACCCATCCGAAGTTCTCTCATCTGTGCAGTGCGTCAGTGGGTCGCCCAGGGTAACTTCCACCTCAGCCACCCACCAGAATCCTGGATCACGGGTCCTGGACAGGGCTCGCATGCTGCCTGTTACCTGGGTCGTTTTCATCTCGGGGCACCTTCTTGAAGCAGTCATTGAGCGACAGGTTGTGGCGGATGGAGTTCTGCCAGCCCGCCTTGCTGCGTTTGTAGAAGGGGAAGTTGCTGGCCACGTACTGGTAGATCTGGCTGAGCGTCAGCTTGCGCAGCGGTGCGCTCTGGATGGCCATGGCGATGAGCGCCGAGTAGGAGTAGGGTGGCCGTACCAGCCTCAGCAGCTCCTGTTGCCCCGACAGGCTCAGCCATGCCAGATCAGCGCCTGCCAGGCCACCTGCAGGGCCGAGCAGTGAGCCCGGGGTGGCGAGGGCTGCTGCAGCGTAGGGTGGAGCCGGTCCCGGTCCCGTCGCATAAGGCGCAGGGCTGAGGGAAGTCGAGTTCGCCCACAGGCGTCGGCCAGAGCCCAGATCCCCGCGGCCGTAGCCCGGGGCATGGGCGACTGCCCGAGTCAGGCTGTGCGGGACCGAGCAGGAGCCCAGGACATCGCAAAACCCAGCCATGTCCAACTCTCCAGCCTGGGCCGGTGCAGGTGGCTCCGCACTAAAGCTCATGTGCGCTCCAGTCATCCAGCGAGGCTGTCCCCACCCTCCTGCCCTAGGCCCTTTAAATGCCATTAGGGCATGGGGCGCTTTGGGGGAGAGTATCAAAAGTCTCCTCCCTGGCCGGACTTGGAGGAGTGAAGCCCATGTCCCCGCCCTCGGGTCAGTTTTCCACCCGCCCTGCCCTGGAACAAGACACCGAGACATGCAGTCCTTGTGGCTCTCCCATGGTACCTTGATCCCTTTGGGTTCAGTCACTCTTGGTTTGCAGTGGTCCCCAGGGTTTTCTCAGATCCCAGCTCCTAAAGTTAGGGTAGGGAGCTCTGTGCCCCAGGCATTGGTCCTTTTGTGTGTCTGAGGCCTTATCTCAGACCCTGAATTGAGAGCAATTGTCATGCGAATTAAGTTCCCAGTGAGGACCTTAGGTGTGTTAGGGACTTGACCTCAAGAAGAGGCGTGGATATTGGAAAGCATTGTGTGGAGACAGAGGGCTGGGCTGGGGGGGTGGTGTGCGGTGAGGCAGGGCAGGAGCAGTGGGCTGCTTTCTTGCTGTGCCAGAAGTCCTAGAAGTCTCCTGCCCAAGGAAGCTTGGTTTTCAGTTGCTGGGGCTCACTTGACTTGTTTGCCCTGTAGCCTGGGGCACCTACTATAAGAGGCAACAGTGAAGGCCTCCCTGGACATCTCCCCTTCCCCAAGAACCTAAAAACCGGATAACTTGGCCCTGTGTCAGACGCCATCCCTCCCTCCCTCCGTTTTGTTGCTGAAGAACTCTGTCGCTTTCCCAGCTGTCAGGATCTGGGTTTCCCTTGCCTGGCCCGGATACTAGTTAACCAGCAGCACACCCAGTTTTCCAGATGCCTTTGCCTTAGGCACCATGGGTTCTTGGCAAAAAATAAGGCCACGACTGTGGCACAGAGTGGTACAGTTCCCGCTGTTGTGGTGTCTGGAAATTATTCACGGAAGTCAACTGACTGAAGAAGAGTCAAAATTTCTGGCCTAGGAGAAATAGGGGGTTGGGCTTCATCCTCCACCAAATTATTATTATTATTATTTTGGTTTTACGAGACAAGGTTTCTCTGTATTGTTTTGGAGGCTGTCGGTCCAGCCTGGCCTCGAACTCACAGAGATCCGCCTGCCTCTGCCTCCCGAGTGCTGGGATTAAAGGCGTGTGCCACCACCTCCCGGCCCTCCACCAAATTATTGACTCCAGTGTTAGAGAGGAATTTATTGAAATTGGACTGACCTAGGGACCCTTCCTGATTACTACAGCAACGTAATGTTACATTGGTTAAGAAAAGGAAAGGTCCAACTGGCCCTGGTTTTTGGCTAAGGAGGTACCTGCTAGTTTGGCCAGTGGTTTAATACACTCTTGGAATGAAGGAAGTCTGTAATAGCGAGTAGAGCAGGGGAAGTGAGACTCCATCTAGGACAAATTTGATCTCAGCACTCTGTAGCCTTTAGGAAGAGGTTGGATAACTAAAGGTAGTGGCAAAAAGAGGCCTGGAATTGACTCATGATGTGCGTTCTCTAGTCAGACTGTGGGCCTGTTTCCAATCCCCATTCCCCAGATGACTGGTGGGAGACAAGTACTCTCAGATACTACCAAAACTCTCATGTGCACATGCATGCAAAACACACACACACACACACACACACACACACACACACACACACACACACACACCTGCAGGGACAGGCTGATGGGAAGTTCTCTGAACTTCCTCTCCCTGGCTTCCTTGTCACTGGTTCGGGACATTTTCTCCACCTTTGGGAATCTTGCTGTGGAAGAGGAGGCATCTTCTGAGTGGTACAAGATGGGGCATCATAGAGCCTACAACTCTGCTTCACCCACGTGATGTCTGAGGGAATTCGCCTGCCTTTTCTGTTGTGAGGTATCTGGCAGGAACATGGCTACTCTTTAAGGTGGTTTTGATGACCCAAGGTGTTAAATGGAAAGACATTTGCCTCACAGAGGGAAACTTTATTTTATCTACAGTTGGCTGTAATATTGTTTAAAAAGCTGTAGCCATCAAGACAACATGTCACTGGTGGAAAAAGACAGAGAAATAGTCCAGCAGAGTGAAATGGAGAGTTGAGTCCACCTGTGTACCTACAGCCAGCTGACTCTGTACGAAGATCTTAAGAAAATACATCAGGAAAAAGGCCACATTTCCAGCAAATGGTGCCAGGAAAAAATCCATATCCAAATGCAGAAAGAAGCTTGGCTCTCATCTCTCATCAGTTACAAAACTCAAGTTTAAGAAGACCAAAATATGAGACCTGGAACAATGAAACTATAGAAGAAAACACAAAATACCCCAGGAAAGAGGCTTTGTTTGTGTTTTCCCTTAAAGCATAGTAAACAAAACCAAAGAAAGTCAAACAGGATTATGTTTAACTGAAAAGCTTCTGGACAGTGATGTCATGAATTGCAGAACTGGAGAAAATGTTTGTGAACTATGTATCTGAAAGGGGGTGATATCCAGAACAGACATGGAACTCCAAACTCAACAGCATGTAGTAATAGCCCAGTTCCAAAACAGACAATTAACAAATGCTTAAATTCCCCCTTCAAAAGATAACATACAAATAGACAGCAGGTACATGAAATGATACCCTACATTATCAACCACCAGAGTAATGCAAACCAAAGCACAATGAGATATCAACTAACTAAAGGAGGAACAGTATTATAAGAAAGTTAAAAGATAACTAATGTGGTGAGGACGTAGAAAAAAGGGGACCCTTGCACACTCTTGGTGAAAAGTGTGCATCAACACAGCCGGTGTGGAAAACAGACTGGGGGCTCCTCAAAAAAAAAGTAGAAATGCTGTATGGTCCAGCCATCTTCCTGCTATGTGCTCAAAAGAAGCAAAGTCAGGATGCTGGAAAAATACCACTACCCCCCACATTTATTATGGCTTTATTTGCAATAGCCAAGAAATGAAAACAATGCCATTGTCCAACCACAAATAAGATGTGGTATATATGCACAATGGAACTCTATACAGGCATAAGAGAAGGAACTCATGCTATGAGAACATGGATAGAACTGGAGGTCATTGCATTCAATAAAATGAGCCAAGTGTAGAAAGACAAGTATCATGGGATGTTACTCATGTAGAGGAGATAGAATTCTTGGCCTCACAGAAGTTAAGAGAAGAATGGCGATTAAGCAGAGACAGGGAGTCTAGCATAGAAACAAAATTACAGGTAGGTAGGGGTAGAAAGTCTTAGGTGCTAGGACACAATAAGTAAGGTGATCACAGATAGAACTTGGGATTTTCATTATCATCATCATCATCATAAACCTTGACAACTATTTGAGGAATCGCATGCTAAAATGGATATATTCATGTATCCAAACATCCCATGGTTCCTTGTAATATGTGCCATTTTGGTTTTGTGCATAGTTAAAGATAAAATTAAAATAATTCTCCAGGAAATAAAACAAAAAACAACAACATACAAAGTTCCCAGAACCAATTTAATAGTGAATTTTAAGAGTGTATTGAGTCATCTCTTGCAATGCAAATAAATAAAGAATGGCAAAATCTTTTCCAGGTTCTAGTCATTGCACAGTGTCTTTCTGTTGAGGCTTTAGCTCTTAAACACTGTGGGCTCTAGGACCTCCAAGATCAAGTGAACCTTCCTGCAATTTTCCTGTATAAAAATCATGACAATTTGTGCCATATTTCTATTCCCCTTCTCTGAGTTCTGAGCCTGCTTTACTGTAATAGCTTTCTGAGCTTTCAACAGGCTGGACCCCAAAATGATTGTCGGTAGATGGAGTAGTTATTTGGGGAAAATGTTTTAACACCTGAATCATCTTTGATGGAACTCTGATGAGAATTTTCTGAAGAGAAAAATATGTCTAAGAGAGAACTCACAAGGCTGAGACCATGCTCTGCAGGGTCTCTAAGCAGAACAATAGCCCTGGGCCCTATTCCAATCTCTGAGCCTTTTGAAGTGACCCACTACCCACCCTGTGGACAGTCTTTCAGACATCCACCACCAAGTCAAGCTCACCTGCAGCAGTGCCCATGCCTGCAGCTGCACCCACACCTGCAGCTGCACCTACACCTGCAACTATGTCCACACCTGCAGCTGCAATTGTACCTCCTCTTTCAGCAGGCTAGCCTCTCCTGTGGGCAAAGCTGGGATACAACATAGAGATGTTTGGGCGTGGCTCTCAGGGATTCACCACAGGGCCCAGGCAAAGGCCCTGCTCCCCAACTGCCTTTCTTATGTGGCTTTTGTTCCCACTTGTGCTTCTTAACCATTAGGAATTTAGCTGGAGGAACTAAATCACTGGAGGCATGTCCTTGGGGGAGGGGTGCCTTGCTCTGTCTTCACTGTTTCCTGTCCATCAGGAGATGAATAGGCTCTTTCTCCCCACACTCCTGTCACCATTATGTATAACATTTTGCATGAACTTGTGGGACCAAGCAAAATACATTGAACCCTCTGACACTCTAAATTAAGATAAGTCTTTCCTCTAGGTATTGATGATGATACAAAGGTAATATGTTAAAATTTTGGCTTTCCATACATATTAAACTCTCATTCCAATATGCTACCATCTATCTATCTATCTATCTATCTATCTATCTATCTATCTATCTATCTATCTACCTATATATCATCTCTCCATATACATGCCATATGTCAAGCTATTTATCTATATTCTGTCTATCTTAGTTGCTATTCTGTTGCTATGATAAAATGTCATAACCCAAAGCAACTTCGAGAAGAGTTGATTTTGGCTTATGGTTTCAAGGATTGTGTGTCCGTTATGGTGGGAAAGACATGGTGGCAGGAGGCTAGGGCAAGAAGCTAATAGATTTCACACTGGAAGAAGAGAGCAAGAACTGAAAGCTCTAAACTCTCAAAGCCATCCCCACTGAGGCGCCTTCTCTGGCAAGGCTGCACGTCCTAAAGGTTCCATAACCTCCTCAATCAGCCCCACCATCTGGGGATCAAGTGTTTAAATGCATGAGTCTATGGGAAACATTTCTCATTC